CGTGGAAATCGCTTGGGGAAACTGCGCTGGGAGGGAGCGAGACCGGATGCTGGACGGGATGAAGCCGTGGAAATAGCTTGGGGAAATTTCGCTGGGAGGGAGCGAGACCGGGTGCTGGACGGGATGAAGCCGTGGAAATAGCTTGGGGAAACTTCGCTGGGAGGGAGCGAGACCGGATGCTGGACGGGACAAAACCGTGGAAAATAGCTTGGGGAAACTTCGCCGGGAGGGAGCGAGACCGGATGCTGGACGGGATGAAGCCGTGGAAATAGCTTGGGAAATTGCGCTGGGAGGGAGCGAGACCGGATGCTCGACGGGATGAAGCCGTGGAAATAGCTTGGGGAAACTGCGCTGGGAGGGAGCGAGACCGGATGCTCGACGGGATGAAGCCGTGGAAATAGCTTGGGGAAACTTCGCTGGGAGGAGCGAGACCGGATGCTGGACGGGATGAAGCCGTGGAAATAGCTTGAGGAAACTTCGCTGGGAGGGAGCGAGACCGGATGCTGGACGGGATGAAGCCGTGGAAATAGCTTGGGGAAACTTCGCTGGGAGGGAGCGAGACCGATGCTGGACGGGATGAAGTCGTGGAAATAGCTTGGGGAAACTCGCTGGGAAGGAGCGAGACCGGATGCTGGACGGGAAACCGTGGAAAATAGCTTGGGGAAACTTCGCTGGGAGGGAGCGAGACCGGATGCTGGACGGGATGAAGCCGTGGAAATAGCTTGGGGAAACTGCGCTGGGAAGGAGCGAGACCGGATGCTGGACGGGATGAAGCCGTGGAAATAGCTTGGGGAAACTTCGCTGTGGGAGGGAGCGAGACCGGATGCTGGACGGGATGAAGCCGTGGAAATAGCTTGGGGAAACTTCGCTGGGAGGGAGCGAGACAGCACGCTGGACGGAAAGGAAACCGTGCAAATATAGCTTGCGGAGAGCTTCGCTGGGAGGGAGCGAGACAGCATGCTGGACGGGGCACAAAACAGGGGCAATAGCTTGCATTGAGCTTCGCTGGGAAGGAGCGCGACAGCATGCTGGACGGAGAGGAAATAACGTGCAAATAGCGTGTGGAGAGCTTCGCTGGCAGGGAGCGAGACATGCTGGACGGACAGGAAACGTTGGAAATAGCTTGCGGGGAGCTTTGCTGGGAGGAAGCGAGCCAGCATGCGGGACGGAGAGGGAACAGTGCAAATAGCTTGCGGAAAGCTTCGCCGGGAGGGAGCGAGACAGCATGCTGGACGGAGGGGAAACCGTGGAAATAGTTTGGGGAGAGCTTTGCTGGGAGGAAAGCGTGGAAATAGCTTGGGGAGATCTTCGGTGGGAGGGACCGAGACAGCACGGCTTTTGCACACAGAATCTTGTACACACAGACGCGTTCACACACAGGAGGTTTTATACAAACAGAAGACTTTACGGCGCACAGAACTTTTATATACATAGAGCAGCTTTTACGCAGCGAAGCTTGTACACACAGGACAAAGGGGAGCTTTTTTACACAGAAGCTTTTACATAGGGTTTTTTTAATACACAGAAGCTTTTACACACAGAAACCTTTACACACAGAAGCTTTACACACAGAAACTTTTACACACAGAAACTTGTACACACAGAAGCTTTTACACAAGCCTTTACACAATGGAGCTTTTACACACAGACAGGTTTACACAGAGGAGTCTTTACGCACGGAGGCGTTTACACAGGAAAGCTTTTTCACACAGAAGCGTTTACACAGAGTAGTTTTTACGCAGAGAAATCTTTACACAAAGAAATCTTGACACAGAGAAGCTTGCACACACACACACAGAGGCTTTTACACAGAGAAGCCTTTTACACAGAGCAGCTTTTTCACCGAGGAGCTTTTACCCAGAGGAACTTTTACACAGAGAAGCTTGTACACTCAGAGGCTTTGACACAGAGAAGTCTTTTACACAGAGAAGCTTTTGCACACAGAAGTTTTACACAAACAAAATCTTAACACAGAGGAGCTTTTACATACAGAAGCATTTATGCAAAGAATCTTTTGTACAGAGAAGTCTTTACCCATTTTTCATCATGTCTCATTTTTCACTATCATTCACCACCTATCACCTTCATATCTTCGTTTTCATGCTCTTTTGGTCAGCTCCCTCCGTCGTTTAGTTTTCATTTTGCACGGTGTTCTGTCCGTCGACGCTTCGTCCTCGCTCCCTCTGCGGCGAAGCAAACTAAACGAGAACGCAGGAATTATAGCGGCTAAAAAGATGGGATAGAGTTAATTACATTAGCAGAAATAGCGACTAGAAGAATGTAGACGTAGCTGACACAGCATGCTGTGGTGAATTATGTGAATTGCGGCCCCTGATACCATCAGTGCGCACGATGTTTCAGTAAAGATCTTACGTCGATTTCGTGCAGAGCACACACCACAAGATTTTCAAAAAAATCGTGCTGTGTGCCGTCTTGCTTTTGGGTTCTCTGGCCCACCTTGTTTTTTTTCCACGGACAAACCTTTTTTTGTCAGGGCTTAAGAGGAGAAACATGGTGATAGATAGATAGATAGATAGATAAATAGATAGATAGATATATAGATAGATAGATGGATAGATGGACAGATAGATAGATAGATAGATAGACATATTCAAAAAACACACACACACACATATATATATACACGCATACGTATTTGAGGTTGCTTGATTGAACCCGAGTCATTGATTAACCGACTCTATTTGAACTCTTTTTTTTAATTAAGAAAAATATTTTTGCTCCTTGGGTGTTTTGGCCCCCATACTGCAAGAAACGCTGAAACGCGCACCAATCTATACCCATCTACAGTGAAGCATAGGTTGTTTGGCAATTTCTATGAACGCTTCATCGTGGGGATACCCTCTGGTTATGCACGATGG